GGCATCAGGTTTGTGGGGATTTGTTACCGCAGACACAGGAAATGATTACACCTTGTTTCTTGAAAAGACTTTTTGAGGTTTGAGGAAGTTTTCAGATTTGGCTGAGAGTTTGTGGATTACTGTTATAGAGCAAGGGAGAAATTCCACAATTTCTCTTGTGAATCGGTTTCCTTGTTACCTACTATACAAAGATTCTTCACCATAATTCCATTTAAATATATCTGTCCTGTTCTATTTGCCATAGAACTGAAATTACTATAGGGAACCAGATATTTAAATATGGAAAGGATGAACCTCAGAAAAGCTGTTAGGAAAGTGAAGAACATGGAAGTGAATTTTCATACTATACCAGAAGAGGAGAACTAGCACCAAGTAAGAACTGAATTCCTGTTGATGGATTTACGTGCTTGATGAATTTGGCTGACAGTTTAACTCTACAGGAAAAGCACAGTTACAGTAACCCAGAAAAGTAGTTACTTCATAAGTGGTTTCATATGAACCTCAAGTCATGAACAGGCTGGTTTCTATATGATTATCAATGGTAATAAACCATTTTGCAAATGGACACTTTGCTGGATAATGCTTCTTATATAATAAGAATAATTCTTGGTTCAGTGAATCTAAACAAATCGGAGGGAATTATTGTACTGGGGAGAGGTGTTAAGTGATGTCGGGGTCTTGAATGTCACCACACTATGTTTGCCAGTTCCCCAATGGTTTAAACCTTCCAGAGACTGGGTAAAGAATTATATCCTCTGTTATTTATTTACTTATTTATTTATTTTTGAGACAGAGTCTCTTTCTGCAGCCCAGGCTGGAGTGCAATGGCACAAACTCAGCTCACTGCAACCTGTGCCTTCAGGGTTCAAGTGATTCTCCTACCTCAGCCTCCCCAACAGCTGGGACTACAGGCATGCACCACCATATCCAGCTAATTTTTTTGTGTTTTTAGTAGAGACAGGGTTTCACCACGTTGGCCAGGATGGTCTCGAACTCCTGACCTCAATAATCCACCTGCCTCAGCCTCCCAAAGTGCTGGGATTACAGACGTGAGCCACTGTACCTGGCCTACAACCTCTTTTAATAGTAAGTTAAAAGAAAGCTACACAGATGCACGTGAGAATATACTTTCACAGATACTGCGTTTTAAATAGGAATCAGAAAGTTCTGCCAACTGCATTTTATTAAAGGCATGGCCAAGGTTTGGTTGCTTCACTAAAATATGACCATTTTAAAAATTATCAGTCATCAAAATTATTTTGCAAAGAAATATGAATAGAAGAGTAGGGAAAGAAACAACTATCTAAATATATCTGTCCTGGCTAGTAATAGCACATTTCTGTATCGCATTATTTCACAGATACGTATAAATAGGTATAAACAGATGTCCTAAGTTAGAGCAATAATGTCTTCCACCCTCTTGCTTATTGGCTTTCTCCCATATTTCTTCTGCATTTACATTTTTTCTGGTATAATTTCAGATTTGAGGCGCACTTGGTATGAAAAGGGTCCATGTTTTCTCCACTACATTTGTCTCACATTCCAAAACACAAAGGGGATGCCATTCTTCAGAGAAGCACCAGCCACTTGGCCTGCTGCTGGACTATTGCTTAAGGCACAGATCTGAATGCCCTGGCAGGTTTCTCCACCCTACAGTCTTAGGGAGCTGTGGCCCAAGGGCAACTGCAAAACCCACGTGTTAGAATAACTTAGCTTTCTTGTGATACTAAGTAAACAAACAGACAATGGCCCGAGTATATGGCAATAGAACTCTGCCCCACAGAAGAAATGAAGCGTAATACCTGCAGAGATCAGCTCAGAACAGTCAGGACTTACTCAATGGCTGACAGCTTCCTTATTTTTGCCTCTGCTTCCAACCCAGGACAAACCAGAAAACCCAAATACACTCCACAAACAAGTGACATAATATATTCCATCTCTAGTTATCCCTCCTCCAGCTTCTCCAGAGTGACAACACTCTGCAAAGAGGACATACTTGAAGTCACCCCCTTTTTCCACTAAAGCTTTTCCTCTTCCCTGTCTTTATATTACCTCCTTTGTAATAGCAAGTTCTGGATACATAGCCTCTGTTTGTTCTTACGGGGTGGTCTTCATTTATTTCCATGTGTGAATGATGATTGTGTTAAACACAATGATTAATT